GTCATTGACTGTAGAAGAATTACAACCACTTCAGTGGTGTTGTGGTAACATGCTCCCCTCAAGAGCTGGAGTCTGGGTTCATTCACTGGCCTGGTCAAACCAAAGACTGAAAAGGGATATTTGCTGATTCTCCATTGAGCACACAGTATTTAGGAGTCAGAGCCAGGAATGGAAGACTGTTTAAGATGTGGTTGACCTGAAATTGACAATGGAGTATTCAGTTAGGATCTTGATCAGCCTTCATCCCTCCCCTGTTGTTAAGATCACTTGTTTATTACTCAGCCTTCATCCTTTTTATCTTGATGATTGTATGTATTTGTCCAAGGATGCTGTCTTATTGACCTTTATGTGACCTTTACCTGACAGCACCTTTTGTTTACAGTTGACAATTGGTTTCAGTATTGTGTTGGTTCATACTTATTATCTAGTCTATCAATAATTCCCTGGGGTCACATCTAAACTTTTTTAATTTTAGAAGCAGAATTGCTTTCCTACGACTATCTGAAATCTGACATTTCAAATTTGTTGTTAATTGTGTACTTTTCTGACTTTGCCTTTTAATGGTAAACAGTACGATTAGTTGTGTCAATTAGGTTTATATAAGATTTACTACATCATAAAATTCACAGCATGTCTAAACCTAGCTTGTCAACTAAGGCTTATGCTATCAGTCATAAAAACATATTGCAATATTCCTGTGAATATTAAAGACAAAATCAGGTTCCGATCCAACAGAAAATATGGTCAATAATCTGTGATTGGTAGTCTTGTCAGTAATCAAATGCAGATTATCTTTAGTTTATTGCTTTTTTAAATCTTATTTATTGATAAATTTAAAAGGTTAAGAAAAAATTTAAAATGACAGTTAGCTAGGGTTGCACTCCTTCTCCTTTTTCTTCAGGAAACCGACATGGCTGCCATTATTGAAACTCAACATAGAGATAAGGCAGTAATATTGATCAGTTTCTTTGCAATTACACAGCCTATTAAAACCCAAAGTTCCTGAAAGGATTATCTAGCTATCAACCTTTCTTAGGCTGTTAGTTTTCTTGTTTGAATTGTTTTACATTTGTCATTTCGAGGCCATTGATAGCTGACTATTGGGTATGGGCTTTGCTCATTGTTGAAGGCTGTACAGTGACCTATATTTGTTAATTTCTGTGTCATTTGGTCTCTTGTGGAGAGTTGTCTAATTGGCAATCATACCACATCTTCTTATTTTTATATGTTCTCCAACCTTAGTATATCCCCCTAGCTATCAACCTTTCTTAATTGTGTAAAAGGAACATGCTCTCCAACCTTAGTATGTCCCCCTAGCTATCAACCTTTCTTAATTGTGTTAAAGGAACATGTTCTCCAACCTTAGTATGTCCCCCTAGCTATCAACCTTTCTTAATTGTGTTAAAGGAACATGTTCTCCAACCTTAGTATGCCCCCTAGCTATCAACCTTTCTTAATTGTGTTAGAGGAACATGTTCTCCAACCTTAGTATGCCCCCTAGCTATCAACCTTTCTTAATTATGTTAGAGGAACATGTTCTCCAACCTTAGTATGTCCCCCTAGCTTTCAACCTTTCTTAATTGTGTAAAAGGACAATAACTGCTGAGCTAAATTTCCATTTGCTTGTTCCAAGTAAGGAACCCTGCCATGTCCTGTCTGTGTTTTTGTTAGATGTTTTTCTGTTTTGTATAGATCTGATGAGTTAAGCCTTTTTCTACTGATTTTGATAGTTTGTTCTTATGTTGTGATGTGACACCACTGTCCCATAGTAGGGGGGGGAGGGTTGAGTGCTCACAATCATATTTAACCCTGCCACATTCCTTATGTGCCTGTGGACCAAGTCAGGAGCATTTAATTCAGTGGTTGTCCTTGGTTCATGTCTGTCATACCTGTTTTTCGTAAATTGTTTTGTTATAAATTAGGCTGTTAGTTTTATTCAATTGAATTGTTTCATATTTTTATAGCCGACTATTACGGTATGTGTTTTTCTCATTGTTGAAGGCAGTATGGTTGCCTATAATTGCTTACATCCACTTCATTTGAACTCGGTTGGATAGTTGTCTCATTGGCAATCATACCACATCTCTTTATTTTCATACTAATCATAAGTTGTCATATAATTTAATAGTTTTTGTTATTTGAAAAGAGTGGTGTTAAAGGCAGATCATTGAATGCTTCTGTTAAACAACTTTTATAGACTCTGAACATCTTATGTTTTTATATTGTCATTGGGTTGCTGTCTTATTGACATGTTTGCTTATTTTGCCTCATAGGAATAAGCAAAGTGTGACTATATATAAGTCCCCAAAATATATTAAAATGACAATTCAGGATGAAGAGAAACACATGTTTACTAAAAAAGGTTACAATGCTTGTATGTTAACAACAGTTAAGTTGGAAAACACAATCTTTGGCAATAAGAACAATGATTAAACAGGATTTTATTATGTATGCTGGAAATGGGTGTTCTTTTCCTTAATTATGTGGTATGTGTTCAAATATGATGTATTTTAAGGATAATGAATACATCGTAATTGTGTACTTTTTATTTAATTCATAACTATATTTTGATATCCAATCTAAAATAAAACAATATATAATATTTGAACTTAACATAAAAATTGTAATTTTATCAAAAAAGCAACAGCTAGAAAATTTGAAAGGTAACGAAGAGGATTTTCAACATCAATGCACACAGTCTGCTCAAACAGACAGATCAGATGATCTTATGAATGGAAAAACTGAAATTATTTTGTTACTTGGTTTCCTTGGTAACTGATTATAAAAGTGTATCAATATATTACTGTGATTATTGTGTTATGGCTTACATCCAGATAAAGGTTTGGTTGTACTATGGTAGGGACATCCAGGATCTCATTATCACTTAGCTAATAAAAAAACATCCTATATGAAAAAGATGCCCACAAGAAAAGGGTTATATTTAAATTTTACATGTGACTTGTTTCATTTAGAGAAAAGCATTGATGTCAGAGTTAATGATAAAGAAATATTTAACATTGTGGTTAACATTGTACAGACATTCTTAATCAAAATCCTGTGTAGAGCCCCTTGATTGCTGTTCAGTATACCAATATAGGTACACTCTATCCAACATGTAAATTGAATCATATGTGACAATTATATTATCTCCTCATCAAACTTCAATGATGCTGCAGACAGACACTTCACCAGCTTATAGATTGATATTCAGTCTGTATAAGATACACCAAGATATTAGGGTTAATGCAAACGGAGAGATTTCAATAATTCAGGAGGGGGTCTTTCAGCATTTATTGACATCTTTGTGTAAATTACTATTTGAATGACACCCAAGTTAAAAATCAACTGTTTAATGTATATATATATGCCAAATTAGGGTTTTGATATAAAAATAATAAGATGTGATATGATTGCCAATCACACAACTCTTGACCAGAGACCAAATGACTTTGAATTTTAACAACTATAGGTCACTATATGTCCTTCAACAATGAGATAATTTCATACCTCATAGTAAGCTATAACAGGCCCCAAAATGACAAATGTAAAACATTTAAATGAGAAAAAACTAACAGCCTGATTTATGTACAAAACAAAAACAAAAAACAAATATGATTTGACCCTCATTTTTCACTGAACATGGAAATGCAATGGGTCAAAGTTTTCATTTAAGGTAGTTTGGGGTCACCTAAACATGATACTTAGTACTCATGTTTATTATTAAGTGAACTGGTTAATATATATGCAAAATTAGGGTTTTGTCAAAGATAATATGTTTTCCCAGAACATGGAAATATGATACTGTACTAGTTGTGAGCTCAAGCATGTGTCAAAGATAATATGTTTTCCCAGAACATGAAAATGTGATACTGTACTAGCTGTGAACTCAGACACGTGTCCTTTAAGTGGACACGTATTCATGTTTTCCCAGAACATGGAAATGTGATACTGTACTAGCTGTGAACTCAGGCATGTGTCAAAGATAATATGTTTTCCCAGAACATGGAAATGTGATACTGTACTAGCTGTGAACTCAGACACGTGTCCTTTAAGTGGACACGTATTCATGTTTTCCCAGAACATGGAAATGTGATACTGTACTAGCTGTGAACTCATTCATGTTTTCCCAGAACATGGAAATGTGATACTGTACTACCTGTGAACTCAGGCATGTGTCCTTAGTGGACAGGTATTCATTTTTTCCCAGAACATGGAAATGTGATACTGTACTAGCTGTAACTCAGGCATGTGTCCTTAGTGGACACATATTCATGTTTTCCCAGAACATGGAAATGTGATAATGCACGTACTAGCTGTAACTCAGGCATGTGTCCTTAGTGGACACTTATACTTGTTTTCCCAGAACATGAAAATGTGATACTGTACTAGCTGTGAACTCAGGCATGTATCCTTAGTGGACACGTATTCATGTTTTCCCAGAACATGAAAATGTGATACTGTACTACCTGTGAAATCAGGCATGTGTCCTTAGTGGACACATATTCATGTCTTCCCAGAACATGGAAATGTGATACTGTACTAGCTGTGAACTCAGGCATGTGTCCTTAGTGGACGCTATATAAATAACACATAGCTGAGAGGGTGATAGAGCAGATTGTTACCCCGAGAAAACATTGTCAACTGAGGTGAAGCCAAGGTTGACAATGTCTTTTCAAGAGGTAACAATCTGGTCTATCACCCTCTCAGATATGTGTTATTCAATTTATTATACTGAATGTTCTGTTATTACTGTCTATTAAATTTCAAATTCAAAGTAATAAACTATGTCGTCTTGTACATAACAATCATCCATATTTATTAAAGCGCACACTTGAGCAAGCGTCTCCGTGAAGGGTAATAGAGTATTTGCCATGGGATAGAGTAAATTGTCTCCCTTGTAACCAATCAAAATCTGGCATTTTGACATGAAGTATAATAAATATTCTTTTTGATTTATTCTATGGAATATTGTTAATTGTATTTTCCTTTTTTAATTTCAGGAAAGAGTAGAATATATTTTCCTTGTAATATTCACTTTAGAAGCCATAATGAAGATAATAGCATATGGTTTTGCATTACATTCGGGTGCATACCTACGGAATGGCTGGAACATTCTAGATTTTATTATTGTAGTTATAGGGTAAGTAAGGGAGATAACCTGTCAATATATGTTTATTTGTAATGCTTCTGCAACTTTTGCATACAATAATGTAATGCTTTCTTGTGGACAATTAATTGTATGTCTTGTCAACATTTCTAACAAATATTTTTTCTAACTTTTTTTCATCTAAAAATGCAATTCATTGTATTATTTTTTTTCTCTAAAATATTCTTGCCAAGTCCAATCATATAATTATTTTAACTCATCAGACAATGATTTGTTCCTATGGAATTTTATATGATTGTTTATATGCATTTTTACATCAAAATCAATTATTTCAAGCCAAGATATAAACAATAGTCAAATGATAGCCAAAAATTCATTGAATACATTGAACAAAGAAGGTAATGACAAATTTATTTAAAATTCTGGTGTTTAATATGGGCCATTTATAAAATAAGTTTTATTTTTTTTTATAATTATTATTTAAAAAAAAAAATTGGACCTTCTTTTATTTGTAAAAAATAGCAATGCTTTAGCACTTGTGTTGACTTTAATGCTTCAGGTTTACATGGTGAAGATGGCAACATTACGTTAAATCCTGGCATTGTCACATGTTATCACATGTTCTTATCATTACATACTGTTAAAAGAGAAAGTTCTGTTACATATATTCACATATCACATTTGAAAGTTTTACCTTTAATGATGAGCCCAAATTTAAATTCTCTATTCTGTTGTGAACTTTATGTATTGGATATTTAAATTTTTTACAGTGGTTTTGGTTGGATGTAGAATTTTTTTAGAGTTAACTTTTCAACATAAAAAAAAAAATTGTTTGGTGGCTTTGCCTTTGAATGCCTGTTTATAAGAAAAGATACATGTTTTTTTTATATGAAGTCAAAAGATTAATCTCTAAAAGTTCACAAAATTATAAGGATAAGGTCTGCTGTTTTAACAGTGTGTAATACAAGGATTTATTATTATGTTGATAAAATTAGTATTAAATCCAAACTATATTTTATTAGTCTTTTCACGGTAGTTATAATGTGAGTACAATATATGATTATTTGAGCATGCCATAAGTCATCGTAATTTTGTCGACTTCCCTGGCGCTTTCATCATTGTCGTGTAAAAGCTGTGAAACAGTTGCTAAGAAATAAGTTATATAGACTGTTACACATATAGCTTATATGACACACAAGTTTGTTGATACACTAGTAAAGCACTCACTTATAGTCACCTGAAAGTCATTTCTGACAAACCTTTGATGTGGCTTTGCCTCAAAAGATTTGAAATTTTTTTTTAGAAAATTTTACTTCAAACTATTAAAGCACTTCAGCTAAGTTCAAAGAATCGGGAAGATGAAAAGGTCATTTGCGTCCATGCATTAGAATTCAAAATCCAAGACATCAAGCTATATTTTAAATTCATAAAATAGATTATGTTGTACGCAGAGTGTTGTTTTTGTAGAGTAGATGTTTCTGCAGTGTTTTGTTTTGTACTGCTGTTAAGTGAACCTAAATAGGATAAAAAATATAATGCTATTCATATATAGTCTATTGAAATTTTACAAAATCGTTTTATAGTTGTAGTTCAGTTTCATGCAGAAAATATTTGTATTGTTTCAGTTTTGAGTCAATACACTTTTTAAATACATTATTATTGAAAAATGAGCATTGATCCACAAAACCAAAAACAAAAAAAAACATTAAGTAGAAATTATGTAACATACGATATTGTGCTGTATTATCTCCAGCATAGGTGTAGAAATACGATATTATGCTGTATTATCTCCAGCGTAGGTATAGACATACGATATTGTGCTGTATTATCTCCAGCGTAGGTGTAGACATACGATATTTTGCTGTATTATCTCCAGCGTAGGTGTAGACATACGATATTGTGCTGTATTATCTCCAGCATAGGTGTAGACATACAATATTGTGCTGTATTATCTCCAGCATAGGTGTAGACATACGATATTGTGCTGTATTATCTCCAGCGTAGGTGTAGACATATGATATTGTGCTGTATTATCTCCAGCGTAGGTATAGACATACGATATTGTGCTGTATTATCTCCAGCGTAGGTGTAGACATTCGATATTGTGCTGTATTATCTCCAGCGTAGGTGTAGACATACGATATTGTGCTGTATTATCTCCAGCATAGGTGTAGACATACTATATTGTGCTGTATTATCTCCAGCGTAGGTGTGTAATACGATAATGTGCTGTATTATCTCCGGCGTAGGTGTAGACATACGATATTGTGCTGTATTATCTCCAGCGTAGGTGTGTAATACGATATTGTGCTGTATTATCTCCAGCATAGGTGTAGACATACGATATTGTGCTGTATTATCTCCAGCGTAGGTGTAGACATACGATATTGTGCTGTATTATCTCCAGCATAGGTGTAGAAATTGGTCTTATACTTTGTAGAGACAGTACCGTAGAAAGGCTTGTATAGTCCGCGGTTTTATTCTCCAAAATTGGACCTTCCAGACGGGGTGCGGACTATAGAGTACAATAAGCAAGAAATAAGAGAAAAATTTCAATTTCGAGGGCGAGGTGGTTTGTTTACGTTCCGCCAACTTGTTAATCACCTTGTGGTTGGCCAGGGAAGTCTCTCATATTTATGGTTATTAGTACCCTACCGACGAAGTCGAAGGGGACTTTAGGTTTGCACTCTGTCCATCTGTCTGTTTGTCCATCCGTCAGTCCGGCAAATCAGTTTTCCACACTTTTTTCTTCGTCCTTGAAGATATTGATTTGATATTTAGTGTATTGTTTTATCATGACAAGTTACAGATCAAGTTTGAATTTTGTTCCTGTCTGATGATTTTGTGCAGAGTTATGGTCCTTGGACTTAGAAAATTCACTCAAATAATCAGTTTCCACACTTTTTTTCGTCATGCTTGAAGATATTTATTTGATAATTGGTATATAGTTTTATCATGACAAGTTAAAGATCAAGTTCGAATTTTGTTCAGGTCTGATGATTTTGTGCAGAGTTATGGTCCTTGGACATAGAAAATTCACTTAAATAGTCAGTTTTCCACATTTCTTTTCATCATGCTTGAAGATATTGACTTGATATTTGTTATATAGTTAACACCATGACAAGTTATAGATCAAGTTAGCATTTTATTCCATTTCTATGAATTTTTAACCGGTAGGGACTATGAATTGCCATGCAATACTCTCAGAATGCTTGTTTATTTGAGGTTTGAATTCTGAGCAGACCTCATAGTGATGTATGAAAATAAAACTCATTAAAAATATAAACCCAAAGATATTAAAAGAAGTGTTAGATTATCAGTTCAAATTTTTTTATATCTGACAACATCATATTTTAGCGGCAGTTAATTCACTTTGTACTTCTTTATCTTTATCCTAAAAAAATTAAAACAGTAATATGTTTCTGCCTTTGATGCTGTCTTGTCATATTTGTCGCTGACTAGGGTCAACATACCTGAACTTTGACCAACAGATTATACTTCTGCTTGGGTAAATATCCTTTAGTAATAAGTGAATCAATATTATTATTCAATTTGTAAAGTAAAATCATGCACAGATTTTTAACATATTTCAGCTATCTTTTGTAAAATGCTTTTGCTGAAAACCAAAATATTAAAACAATTACGTATAATTTGTTCAGAAAAATCTAAATTAGTTGGCTTAGATAGCACTAAAGTAATTTGTTTTAAACACTCTCCTGACCTTACCCATACCCTTTGGAGATCATATGTTATAAAATAGACAATAAATTCCGGCACTATATTTAAAAATGTGGAATGATTGTCAATATGAACACCAAATGACGTAGAAGTCAGCAACTATAGGTCACCGTACGATCTTCAACAATGAGCAACACCCATAATGCACAGACTCTGAATTAATTGAACAATAAATTGAACAAATGAAATAGATGGCGCCTGAATGATGTTAAAATTCTACTATAAAGGTAGTCATAGTTGTTGGTCTGATACAGCTTCTCAAGAAAACACCACACATGACATGGATGATCTCGCACATCTTCTCAATAATTGTACAATTTTGAAAAAACAGTTTTTAGGTATTTTTTTAAAACTGATATTTGTGAGGGTTTATATTTATCGAAAACAAATGTGACGTCAGTAAGTTGTCATGGAGACATTTTGTGTCTTGATCATTCATTAGAAATAATGGTGAATATGTGTTTTTTTTTAACTTGACCTAGAGGTTGATAGTAAAAAATGTAAAAGACATTAAGACCCAGGTATTACATGTACCTGTATACTTTTGTTATTTCACAGAACTAGTTGATAATTGTAATGTGATGTGTACTTTTTATTTACCACAGTGTTAGATATAGATAAATCCCTGGATGTGTTTGTGTCTCTATATTGTATGGAATTATTTCATTGATATATATTTTTATTGTTTTTACATGTATAATTTGATTTTTTGTTGAGAATGATCACTAGGACAACCTATGTTTGATATCTTGTATTTAAAGCATTGTTTATTAGGGTCTTTTTAAAAAAAAAAATGTCTTTGATGTTCTGCATCACAAAGCAGGAGTAAAACATTCCTAAGCACCTTGGTTGGGAAAAGTTGGATCACGCTTTGCTTACAAGGATCTGATGAAGCTTAATTCCTCTTCCTGTTTGATAAGTCATGCCTCCAAATGAAATTTTTGCCTCCAAATTTTTGATGGTATGTCTGTCCCTTTACAACAAATGATCGAGGAAGTTCTGAGGAACCCCAAAATGTTCATAGAACACAAATCAAAACATGTTAGATCCCTAAAACCAAAGCATTGACTCACAATGTGTATTTCAATCATGTTGAATTTTGAGTGATGCTATTCAGAAATGTTTGTGATGATTTTATTATTGCAAAATATTGTGATAGGGTAGGGTTTGCAAAAATAAAAACTCACATTTCAAGTTTTGACAGCATTATTGGCTGGCCCGACTGTCATACACTGTTAAATATTCGGATGCAGCGTTCCCCGGTATCGTAATGATTCTCACATTTGAAGTTTTGACAGGAATATTTGGATGCAGGATTCCCTGGTATCGTAATGATTAATCTCACACTTTAGTTTATTTTTCAACAATCGTAATAACAATGCAGGCAAAAATTTCTGAATTAACAGTACTGACTGTGGGCATTATCTGACTGATGAACAAATGTGTTACAACTCTTCACCTCATTTTATAACATAGGCCATTAATGTTGTACAAAATTATTTGATGCTTAGGGATGAACAGGCAATGCTCTTATCAAATGACCACTATGTCATCTTCAGGATAAATGGAGAGACATGCCTCTACCTGCAAAAAACTCATATACAGATACATTAAAAGCAGTAATCACAAAATGTTTTGCATCTAACTAAACAGTCAGAGAAATATGCTATTTATCATTAATCTTTTTTATTTCAGTTTATTTAGTATATTATTTAAAGAATTAAACCTTAAGGGTTTTGACGTCAAAGCCCTAAGAGCGTTTAGGGTGTTACGACCTTTACGTTTGGTATCAAGGGCACCTAGTAAGTAGGCATGCCAGGACAATTATTTACTTGCTTGTTTTGTGTCATTAATCTTGCATTGATTAAAACACTTTGATGATCAGAATCATTAGAACTTGTCATTTTTTGGTCATCATTATGTTTTTTGGGTGATTTTTATGGTATTTGATTAACTTCCATTTCAAACAAGGAAAAAATATTATTTGCATATAAGAGAGTATAATAAAGTTAACTAAGAGATGTGTGAGAACAAATTCTAAAAGAAAGCTATATTTTTTTGTAAATTCACTCAACAAACATCTTTTAGGAAATGTTTGAAAATATTTGATAAAGACAAAAAATAAAATAAAATCTATAACCTTAAAATTCAGGTATTTGAGGAACTGTTTTTCATGCTTTCTGCAGCAAATAATATTTTTTCATGAATTTGGATATTACCTAAAATTTGTGTATACCAGGTAGATAATTTGATTTATCAATAACACAGGTTTGCATGTTGTTTCTTTACAAATATTTTATTTTATGCAGTCTTACATAAATGACTAACATGTGCTTTTTAAAATATATTGTGGTGTGCATGTTATACTAATTGAATGGACTGGTTTTATTGCAGTATAATTAGCACTGTTTTCTCAACACTCAACTTCAATAACTTTGATGTAAAGGCCTTGCGGGCATTCAGGGTATTACGACCATTAAGACTTGTTTCTGGTGTTCCCAGTAAGTACCTTTGGTGTTGTCCATCATTGTTGTCACATTTTGTTTCAGTGTTAGAATTATTTTTAATTTGCATTTACGTAACTTTGTTTCTGTGAATTTGCTTTTTATATCACCTGGTCCAAGGTCAGTTATGAGCTATTCTCATCACCAGGCATTCAGTTGTCTTATTTTCCATTAATTTAATAAAAATCTTCTCCTAAAACTAAAGAGCCAATTGCATCCTAAGTTTGCCACAATCATTGTTTAAGAATTGTGTCTGATGAACCAGCTGACCACCCTTTTCAATAAATAGAACACTAGGATTAAATGCAAGTATTGTCTAATATCTTGAAAAACAATTACAGATGGATAAAACCTGGAAGGCCAAAAAATGTTCATAATGTGATGGTCTACCTGCTTTCCATTTTGACCAAAATTAACAACAACTTATTGGAGTTATTGCCCTTTGATGACAATTTAAATAATCAAATGTGTTTGGCTATGATATTGACAACTATAATTGATAGAGAGACACTTTGAATAGTAAAAGTGATCTAATAGAAATAAACTACAAATAATTCAACATAGCTAGGCAACTCTTTATAGTAGTTATTGCCCTTGAAGGACAATTTTTACAATTTTTTTTTTGGCAATTATCTCTAAATTATGATTGGAAGAGAGAAACTTTGGTCTAAAGGGCCAGTATAACATATTCTCATTAACTTGTTTTTGTCTTCTATATCATTTGTTAACTTTATAAAAATCTTCTCTCTTATATAGCCAATTGCAACCAAACTTTGCCACAATCATCTGTTTAACCATTAGTGTCTGGTGAACCCGCTGCCCAACCAACATGGCCACCATGGCCAAAAAATAGAACACAGGGGTTAAATGCAAATATTGTCTAATATCTTTACAAATTACAAATTAAGAAAATCTGGATGGCCAAAAATTTTCATAAAGTGATGGTCTACCTTAAGTGTCCATTTTGACAACTCCTTATTGGAGTTATTGCCCTTTAATGTCAATTTTTACGATCCTTTGATTGTTTGGGTATAATATTGACAACTATAATTGAGATAAAGAAACTTTTAATAGCAAATATTGATCACGAAGACATAATCTACAAATAGGTCAACATGGCAAGACAACTATCTATAGTAGTTATTGCCCTTAAATGACTTTTTTTCACCAATTTTTTTTGTGTTTTTGGCAATTATTTTAAATCTATGATTGATAGAGGGAATTTGAAAAATAAAAATAATCAGCTAGACCAGATCTACATTTTTGTCAACAGGGACAAAATCATTAGACAACTTCTCAGGAATTATTGCGCTTAATTGACAATTATTTGTTATTTTTTTGGCATTGTTGGCTATTGTAAGAAAAACTATAATCAATAGGCAGAATCTCAAAAATGCAAAAATTATCAGTAGGCCCACAAAACTTTCATTCAACACAAATATTCTAGTTTATGCAAATATGACAAGTGGGCAATACAGGCTCCTTTGAACCTCTAGTTTTATATGGTTTTCACTCGTTTTAGATAAAGCTAATATGTCTCATATTAACACTTGGTGTTTTACACATAATAAATTTCAAATCTAGAAAACAATTTAGCTTTTTTCTTTCTGTGTATAATTTTAAGTATAGTTAATAATATGTCTCAAATTAAGGTGAACTCTGTTGGTGTTTTGAATGTCTTCTATCACAGAGTGGATAGTATTTTGGAATAATTCACTTTTATTTATTTCTATCAGTTTGTCCTTTCTTCAATTTGCCCTTTAAAATATATATGTGAAACTTTCAATTTTGTTCAAAGTTGATATAGTCATTTGTTTGATAATGTTTTAATGCTAATCTTAATCTTGCTCTGTGATGACAGTCGTTCTCCATTTTTTTAACATTCCACGAAAATAAGTACACTGGGAACAATAATGAATCCACAGTATTAAATTAATATTCTGACAAAGTGACTAAAGAATTTTTAGACTGGTCTTTTGAATATGCATATGGAAGAAACTAGCAAAAAGGTCTACATCCTCATCCAAAATAAGGCAGCTTTAACCTACTTTCCACGCTTCAATGACTATAAGATTATAAGGTGTATAGGCACCTCAATACTTACTTGTACATCTAATTTGATTTAAGTACCAAAGTAAAATTGTATAATTCTTTTCCTATATGCACTAACATCTTTTTCCCACTTCAGAAGTTATCCACCCTTTATTGTATACATTGTCTGTCCTTGACTCAGAATATGGTCACTTAGTAGTGAAAACCAAGTCAGGCAAAACATTCTTACCAACCTCTCTATGGTTAGGAAATTATAGTGGTATACTAAGATTAATAGAAAAAATAGAAAAAAAAGTACAAACAAGACCTTAAAGAAAAAACCTAGACAAAACTAAACACAAAGAAGTTTCTTTCTGCTGAAGATTTTCAAGATAGTAAAAGGGATTTGATTTTCAAAAAATTATTTAATTTTAACTTTTTAGTTAGAAGGTTTGTCTAAAGAAATTGAGCTTTTTGTAAATTTTGCAATTAAAGGAAAGAACTAAAATAGATTTTGATTTATAATACAATAAGTAAGACGTTGATGACGTAAGATTGTCTGCTGTTTCATGTTTCTGTTATAATGTCCAGGGGAAATCAATAACTATAAATACAGTATTGTAAAAGTCCTTGATTTAGTATCACAAGAAATTATTTTCTCAGATCGTTATTTATATTTTTCTCAAATTTTGAATGGAAGAATAAGTTCAATGGATTATAAAGTACAAATAAAAGTTTTCTTTGACCAGGCAAACTTGGTCCAAATCACCTACTTGTCACTATCAAAGTTTTTCGTCAAAAGTCAGAACTTTGACCAGGTAAACTTGGTCCAAGTCACCTACTTGTCACTATCAAAGTTTTTTGTCAAAAGTCAGAACTTTGACCAGGCAAACTTGGTCCAAATCACCTACTTGTCACTAACAAAGTTTTTCGTCAAAAGTCAGAACTTTGACCAGGTAAACTTGGTCCAAGTCACCTACTTGTCACTATCAAAGTTTTTCGTCAAAAGTCAGAACTTTGACCAGGCAAACTTGGTCCAAGTCACCTACTTGTCACTATCAAAGTTTTTCATCAAAAGTGAGAAATTTGACTAGGTAAACTTGGTCCAAGTCACCTACTTGTCACTTTGACCAGCCAAACTTGGTCCAAGTCACCTACTTGTCACTATCAAAGTTTTTCATCAAAAGTGAGAACTTTGACCAGGTAAACTTGGTCCAAGTCATCAGTTGTCACAGTTTATCATAAAAAACTTGGTTAAAGAGAAAAAATGCACTGCGAGTGGATAATTCCTGTCCAAGTCCATCCAAGTCTCAAGATAAATAGAATGAGATATTATTCTATCCAAGTTCGTCAAAGTTTTTGATCAAAGTTTTCTTTGACGTTTGTCAAGAAAACTTGTACAAGAAATCTTTGATAGTGACAACGGGCCTTTTCAACATTTGTATTAGGCATTAGTCAATATATAAACAATTTTGATTTTTAGTGTTTAATATGGAAAGGAAAACACTCAGACCTAAACATTGGAAACCATAAATTTGTACAGCATTAAAACAAATTGATTTCAAACCATAACTGGTAGTTCTGACTCTTGGAGTACTTCTGATTCCTGTGGTCTAAAATTCTAGTACACATTTTTAATATAGAACAAAAAGTGTAGATAACTTGTGGTGACATATTGTTATTCCTCCGTTTCTTTTTTTTGTTATTATTATTTTTATACCTCCACTTTTTGACACAGGCATTCTGGGGACACTACTGGACAATGTTGATGAAACATCACCATAATGGGAAGCACCATATGTAGATGTGCAGTTACACTTTTGAACTTTTAAAATGGCCACCATTACCATGGAAACAGAACATTATTTTTTTTTGTTTTTGGTGAATGATTTGAGTATTCCTGAACTTAAAATCATCAAATTTATATACAACATAGGTATTCACTATACATGTAGGTTTTGGATGATTTTGAGAATCATATGAACTGTATTGCCATGGAAACCCTATGGGAAAAACCTTAAAGTAGCATTTCCTCTCTTAACATGGTAGGTCAAACCAAGTGAAACTTTAATGTTATGTTCCTTGTCTTGTTTCAATAAGGCAGATGTCTTTGGAATTTTGGAAATGGTTACCATGGAAACTGCTTCAAACTTATTGAAACTTCACACAATTGTTAATTGGCATTTGTAGATGTGGCATTTGACTGGAATTTCAAAATGGCCGACGTTGCCATGGAAACAACAAAAATGTGAATATTTTCAAAATGCTCCAAACTTAAAAAAACTTTAAAGAAATGTTTACTGGCATATAAATATCTGGCATTCGAAGTTTTTTTTTTTTCATAATGGCTGCCGTAACTGTGGCAATGGGGAACGCTGACATCCGCTATTGCTTGCAATAGCAATTCTAGTTATTAGTCCCCTACTGACGAAGGGGACTTTAGGTTTGCACCGTCCGTCTGTCTGTCCGTCCGTCTGTCTGTCCTTCTGTCAGTCCGGCAAATCAGTTTTCCACACTTTTTTTCTTCATGCTTGAAGATATTGATTTGATATTCGGTATATTGTTTTATCATGACAAGTTACAGATCAAGTTCGAATTTTGTTCCGGTCTGATAATTTTGTGCAGAGTTATGGTCCTTGGACTTGGAAAATTCACTCAAATATTCAGTTTTCCACACTTTTTTTCGTCATTCTTGAAGATATTGATTTAATAATTGGTACATTGTTTTATCATGACAAGTTACAGATCAAGTTCGAATTTTGTTCCGGTCTGATGATTTTGTGCAGAGTTATGGTCCTTGGACTTAGAAAATTTACTTAAATTATCAGTTTTCCGCACTTTTTTTCATCATGCTTGAAGATATTGACTTGATATTTGTTATATAGTTTACACCATGACAAGTTATAGATCAAGTTAGTATTTTGTTCCAGTACAATTAATTTTTAACCGGTAGGGGACTATGTATT